CCACAACGCCCAGCTATTTTTTGGTTGCAGCCGTCATTGTTGTTTGGCGGGTCTGGGCTGAATTTGAACCCGCCACCTTAGGTGTATGTGGCTGGCACCTTAGCCACTTGAGCCACAGGCGCCGAGCCAAGATTCCTACTTTCAAAGATATCTTGCTGCGTTAAAGATTAAGTGTCCTTTTGTGAGCACATCTGGAACCAACCAAAAGCACATGCTGTGAGAGAATTAAAAAACAAAAATAAAAACAGCACCCTCTGGGTAAATACAACCCCATAGGCACATTGGCAAAAATTAGGGAAAACACTAACTCTAGGAGGTTCAATGCCAAGGTGCACTACTTGCTGCAGATAACCAGCATCATCCTCTTGGCTTGGTGCCCATCCACGTAGCATAACTCATACAAACTCTATGTGGTGGTCCTGTTAAAATTTAAAGCATTGTTCCAAACTGAAATCTAAGTACTTTGAAGTGCCAGTGTTCAAAATAATAGTTCAAAAATAGTATAAGAATAAAGTTTAATAACTTTCAACTACTAGAAAGTTTAGATTGAGTCTTTTTCTCCTCATTAAATACAACTAAGGCAAAGTAATGCCAAACAATTTGGGGGCAAAGAGTACCCCCATTGCCAATTGTAGACTATAAAGTCAAAAGATCGTAGATCAATTATGAATACTTTTTATTTGCAAAATTTGGCTACCTCACAACTCTTACCTGGAAACTCCCAAAGCAACTTCCCCCAGGCAGGGTGACATAGCAGACATAGGGAGGACTGTTGGAGGGAACCATCTCATAAACCACTAGAGCCCCATTCTTCAAGTCAGCCCCACGAGACTGCTTCATCTGCCAGAATTCCTGAAGTGCCTCCACCACATTCACTACAAAAAGAGAAGCAGTTAGTTCAGTGAGGAGAGTGCCTCCAGGTTGTACAGTATGTCAGTATGCCACCTGTAATCTGTACCTATGTTATGATTCTGCCTTTAATTCCCTGCCTATCACCATTTAAATTAATAAACCTAGACTGTGATTAAAATAATTTGCATAGGAAGAATAGAGTATGCCTGCTCTGCTCCCTTACCTCTAGTTCACATTTTGATTGAGTCCTAGAGTAATTTAAATACTGGAACCAGAGTTTTCGAGGTCAGCATACCATTATCACTGCTTGATGAAGTAGATTATTTGTACTTGTACTTTGACCACAATTGGTTAGCTGGGCCAGGATGATAACCACCACAATAAGTGCTAATATTTATTGAACATTTACTGCTTGTTAGCCATTTCCTTAAGTGTTTTACCCATTTAATCAACAACAACCTTATGAGGCAGGTACTTTTCTTTTTGAGAGAGTCTCACTTTGTCGCCCTTGGTAGAGTGCTTTGACATCACAGCTCACAGCAACCTCCAACTCCTGGGCTTAGACGATTCTCTTGCCTCAGCCTCCTGAGTAGCTGGGACTATAGGCGCCTGCCACAACACCTGGCTATTTTTTGTTGCAGTTTGGCCAGGGCCGGGTTTGAACCTGTCACCCTAGGTATATGGGGCTGGTGCCCTACCTACTGAGCCACAGGTGCTGCCCAAGGCAGGTACTTTTATTATCCCCATTTTACAGATGAGGGAAATGAGGCATAGAAAGATTAAATAACTTGCCCAAGGTTATAACAGCTAGAAAGTACCAGAATAAGAATTCAAACTCAGGCAACTCCAAAGTCAATATTCTTTTAGGCATCAGGGTTGCTTAAAGAAATGGGGCCCTACCAGCCATTCTCAAGCCTGTGTTTCTAGTGAGCAAATCCATGTCCAAATTCCTTATCCATCCAGAAATACTATGTATATACTATGTGAGAGAGAAAAGAAAGAGAATGCTTCTCTTCTGTGGCTTTACCTTGGTATAAATCATTTTTGGAGGAACTGTGTGGTGGGAAACATTCTTCCATGGGCCTCTCGTGGTCCTTCACATCTTGCAGGGTATCTTAAGATTTACAAAGCCCTGACTTCTCTTTAACTTGGGCCATTTCTCAGGACTGTGTTTGCAGCAAGAAACCTTAAGGGAGGAGGTAATGTCTCCCACTGTAAGAACAAGCTTACTTACAGCTCATTATAAAAGGGGAGGTTCCCCAAGCTTAGTGTACCTCTTTTGTGATGCAACCCATGGTGTATGTAAGCAACTACCTGAGCCCTCCACATCAGACTTCGGAGGAGGCAAGAAGGACTGATACAAATGTGATGCTCATGCTACTTGCTATGCTGTGAGTAATAAAGTCCTTTGTCTCTGACCCAGAAATCTCTTGACTTCAGGCGGCATCCATGAAACAATAACTGGCTGCCTTAACAGTTATAAGTAGGATAAAATCAAACTCCAGGCCTGAAATTGTAGCCTACAGTATAAAGGAGGAGAGAGATATGAATAAGCAAATAATCTCAAATAAATGTGAAACTATAATGTGATAAGAGCTATAAAGGAGTAATATATGGTGAGAAGTGTTGTAAGAATGTCTGACCTAGTTTAAAAGGTCAAAGAAAGCTACCCTTAGGAGGTGATGTCTAAGCTCAGGTATGAGTAGGAATTCACTAGGCAAGAGATGAGAGAATAGTGTTCTGAGCATAAGGAACAGCAGATACAAAGACTGTGATGTCAGAGAACACAGTGAATAAAGGAACTGAAAGAAAACCATTGTGGTTCCAGAAGAGAGTGTGAGAGGGAGTGTAGTGCAAGATGAGGTTGTCAGAAGAGGCAGGGACCAGATCAAGTAGGGCTTTTTAGGCCACGTTAGAATATTGGCTTTATCCCAGAGCAGTGGTTCTCAACCTTCCTAATGCTGTGACCCTTTAATACAGGAAGGTTGAGAACCACTGTCCTAGAGCAACAGGGAACAATTGAAGGATTTTAAACAGAAGGAAGGATGAGGGCATTCTGCCCTTTTTTTGGGAGACAGAGTCTTATGTCGCCCCCGGTAGAGTGCCTTGGCATCACAGCTCACAGCAACCTCAAACTCTTCGGCTTAAGCAGTTCTCTTGCCTCAGCCTCCCAAACGGCTATTGCCACAATGCCTAGCTATTTTTTTGTTGCAGTTGTTCAGCTGGCCTGGCCAGGTTCGAACCCACCACCCTCGGTGTATGTGGCTGGCACCACAACCACTGTGCTACTGGTGCTGAGCCCATTCTGGCTTTGGAAAGTATCACTTTGACTCTGGGATTCCAACATTTTCTTTTTTTTTTAGACGGAGCCTCAAGCTAACCCCCTGGGTGGAGTGCTATGGCATCACAGCTCATAGCAACCTCCAACTCCTGGGCTCAAGCGAGTCTCCTGCCTCAGCCTCCCAAGTAACTGGGACTACAGGCACCCGCCACAACGCCCGGCCATTTTTTTTTTTTGGTTGCAGCCATCATTGTTGTTTGGCGGGCCCGGGCTGGGGATTTGAACCTGCCACCTTAGGTGTATGTGGCTGGCGCCTTAGCCACTTGAGCCACAGGCGCCGAGCCGGATTCCAACATTTAACTAAAGTCTTATAATAAGAAGTTATCACACATGCTTTCCAATATCTTGCAATATGGACTCTCCTGCCCTTAATTACAATGAGGACTCATTCATTCTTTCATATTACCTTAGTTTAGGTCTTCCAAGAAGACACCAAGATGGGATAGACATGCAAGAGATTTTATTGGGGGGGAAGTAGGAGAAGGCAGGGAGAGCCCTCAGTTCATAGTGAAGGTTTGACACCTGTGGAAGAAAGGAAGGAAGGAGGTTTGGATGTAAGAGTCTCAGACGGCAGTGCAATTTCAAGAAAGGTTTGGCCAAGCCAGTGGGAAGGCTTCATGCCAAAGGAATCCCACATCTCACCAAGATGTGGCTGTGTTTAAAACCCCTGCTATGCATAGTCATTGGCTGGGAGCAACTTACATGAAGCATGGCCTTGGTGCAAATGTGGTGATGGACCCAGAGGGAGCAGCAGCTGAGGCTGCTAGTTACGCTGCCTGCAGCAGGAAATCAGAACAGCACATTTTCATGGCTGCCACACACATTAAGTAAAAATTTGAACACTTAATAAGTGTGTGTGATGACAACCATAGCTCAGTAAGTAGGGTACCAGCCACATACACCAAGGCTGGTAGGTTTGAGCCTGACCTAGGCCTGCTAAACAGTGACATGTGGCGGGCACCTGTAGTCCCAGCTACTTGGGAGGCTGAGGCAAGAAAATCACTTAAGCCCAAGAGTTTGAGGTTGCTGTAAGCTGTGATTCCACAGCACTCTACTGAAGGTGACGTAGTGAGACTCTGCCTAAAAAAATAAATAAATAAATAATAAAGGGCAGTGCCTGTGGCTCAAGGAGTAGGGTACCGGCCCCTATACCAGTAGTGGCGGGTTTAAGCCTGGCCCTGGCCAAAACTGCAAAAAAGAAAAAGAACAAAAAATAAAAATAAAGTGTGTGATTCTATTCTAGGTATTAGGGATGCAAAGAACAACACATAGTTCCTGTCAATAAGTTGTTTAAAATCTAGTAGCCAGGGGGCAGTGCCTGTGGCTCAGTGAGTAGGATGCAGCCCCATATACCGAGGGTGGGTTTGAACCCAGCCCCAGCCAAACTACAAACAAAAAATAGCCAGGCATTACAGCCGGCACCTGTAGTCCTAGCTACTCAGAGGCTTAAGCAAGAGAATCGCCTAAGCCCAAGAGCTGGAGGTTGCTGTGAGCTATGATGCCAAGGCACTCTACTGAGACTCTCTCTCTAAAAAAATAAAATAAAATCTAGTAGTAATAAGTTATGTCACCTGCTCTGCAACAGAACAACCCATGTACCAACCAGAGGTGAAAAGCATCATAAACTCTTTTCTGATATCCTATATTTGCCTTTTTAGAATGTTCATTCTTCTATTAAAAGACAGCAAGTAAAGGAAACTCTCTTTCTCACGCTTGGTTTTGGCAAGAACTTTTCAAAGGTCACTGTTGCCTAGAAAGCTTAGCCATCTTTGTTATTTCGTTTGAGATCTTTTTAGCCTCAGTTCTCTCTTTGAGACCATTTAACACAGTGCACCAGGTGATAGCTTTCCTGACATGCAAACAATAGGGAGAATATTGGGATAAAGAGGAAGGGGAGAAGACCACCTTAATTAGGAAGGCTTTGTTAAAAAGTGTATGTCTAGGCTCGGCGCCT